GAGAGGCAGGCTGAGTGCCTTGTCAAAACCGCAGCTGTAAGAAACGGGACCTTTTTGGTAGCTGCCCCCTGCCTTTTGAAATTGGCTCCCCCTAGAGGTTAGGTAGGGACCTTTGCAACATTGTTTTCATAAAGGCTGTAAGACCTTTTCCAGTGAGCTTTTTATTTGCAAAGGGAGGGATATAATGTTTACTGACCAGTTGTTCCTCGGTTCTAAATGATTGAATTTTTATTTGGATTGTCTCTTTTATTAAATCATGAGCTGCCTTAATGCTGCCTGGTTTTTTTTATCTGTTGACCCTGGTCTTTCTTTCATTTTTTGACCCAGTTGGTAGCTAACCTGTTCTTCAGCCATGCTCAGCTGGTGGCCCAGCAGAAAACCATGATGGGGATGAGCAGCTCCAGCAAACGGAAGTACAAACCCCCAACCATTTCCTTCAGATTCCAGCAGTCACTCTTGGAGCTTGTGGAGAAAATGGAAAGGTAAGCAAGGAGGGGCGTTTGCCAGCCAGGCACAGATGAACGTATGTGGTGTCTGCATTAATGAGCTGGTTTCCTGCAGCCATGAGCATTTAAGGCCATTGAAGAGCCTTTAGGTCAATGAGGCTTTAAGTCAATTAGTCTTTAAGCCAATGTAAGAGAAATGCCTATTTCAAATCACATGTAAGCCAACCTGAAGATACTTTAAGTCAATGAGGATTTAAACCAGTGTAAGAGAAATTTATATTTCAAAGCACATTTAAGCCAATGAAGTCAATGAGCATTTAAGCCAATTTAATGTATATGGCATCTGCATTTTTTTGTTTCCTGCAGGCATGAGCATTTAAGTCAATTTAAGAGAAACACATATTTCAAAGCATGTTTAAGCCAATTTAAGGGCCTTTAAGTCGATGAGCATTTAAGCCAATTTAAAATTTCTATTTCAAAGGACATTTTAGCTGATTTAAGAGCCTTTAAGCCAATGAGCCTTTACATCAAAAAGCATTTAAGCCAATTTAAGCCAATTTAAGAGAAATGTACATTTAAGTCAATTTAAGACTCGAAAGCCAATGAGCATTTAAATCAATGAACTTTTAAGTCTTTGGTATTTAATTTTGACATTCTGTTTTTCCTGTTTAAATGGCCAATTGAAACTGAAACTGAAACCAATGGGTAAAGAAAGCAGAAACATTCATTTGAGACCTTCCCATCACTTCACGGAACGACAGGCTGTTTGTATTTGGCTTTTGTATTTTTGTGTATTATTCAAAAGATTAGCTTTGTGTGCAAATGCTTTCATGCTGCATTTCACACACACACAAACACACCTGTTTCCTTGATATGTTTTTGAGGGAGGGCTTTTTGTTGTTGGCAGAGTAGTTAACACAGCAACGGTGCACAACCTGATGAAACAGCAGTTCAAAGTTTATTTAGGAATGAATATACTTGACAACAGTCCGCATGATCAAAGCAATGGTATTCCCAGTAGTCATGTATGGCTGCGAGAGTTGGACTATAAGGAAGGCCGAGCGCCGAAGAATAGATTCTTTTGAACTATGGTGCTGGAGAAGACTCTTGAGAGTCCCTTGGACTGCAAGAAGATCAAATCAGTCAATCCTCAAAGAAATCAACCCTGACTGTTCCCTGGAAGGCCAGATAATGAAACTGAAGCTCAAATACTTTGGCCACCAAACGAGAAGGGAGCCCTCACTGGAGAAGACCCTGATGCTGGGAAAGATGGAAGACGGGGCCGGCAGAGGATGAGATGGTTAGACAGTGTCATAGATGCAACGAACATGAAATTGAGCCAACTTCAGAGGACGGCGGAAGACAGGAGGGCCTGGCGTGATCTGGTCCTAGGGTTGCCAAGTCCGGACTTACCTGCCGGCGGGGGACTTTGGCCTTGTGCGCGCGGGGGTTTGAGGGGGAAACTCTATGTTTTCCCCTCAAATGGCTGTGCCCCGCACCCAGCGTCATGACGTCACTTCCCTGTGACATGCATGCGGGGGTGGGTTTTCCCCCGGGGCTCGATTCCGCGGGGGCGGAAATCGGGCCCCCAAAGCGGGGGGAAATCCGCCCCCCGGGGGGATTTGGCAGCCCTATCTGGTCCATGGGGTCACAAAGAGTCGGACTTGACTGTGTGACTGAACAACAACAACAACAACAAAATACTTGATAGGAAAGAGGAGAGACAGAGGCAGGTTCCTAACTACATCTCTAGCTGAGAGAGACAGACAAGGAATGACACTTATCTGGATAACAACAAATTTGGAGCCCGGTGGGGGCGCCTTTAAGACCAATAAAGGTTTCTTCAAGGTACGAGCTTTTGTGTGCACGCACACCTTATCAAATATTTGGTAACAAACCTTTGTTGGTCTTAAAGGAGCAGTCCCCAGGCATGCAGAAAAATCTAAAAAGTTGAAAAAAATATACGGGGGATACTTAAATCCCCCCAAAAGTAAAAGAGTGTTCCCTGCGCATGCGCAGAGAATGCTCTGGCCATTGGGGGGGGGAGGCTTGGTGGACCTGGTAGCTGGTAGCTGCTCAGTCCTCACCATAAGTGCCGGGGGGGGCAGCAAGAGAAGGTTTGGCTGGCCCAGCGCCGCCGGAGCCAGGGGAAGCTTACCTGTGGCCGCTTCCTCCTCAGCCCTGAGGTCCTCCTGCTTCCACAGGCCAGGAGCCGGGGGGAATACTCCCCCCCCCCGAGTATCGCAGGTCCCTCTTCTTCTCCTATCTAATTGTCTTCTTGCTGCCCTCTGCAGGGTCATCTTCTCTTCATCTTTGTACACCAGACCTTGCCTTTCCCAACATTTTGTACCATAGGGGACTGACATTTGATGCAAAGGGTTTTTCCCCCCATTTTTGGTATCAGTGTGGTGGCTTGTTCAAAGCCCTTGAGCAGGGGTCATTTTGTAGAAAAAGAGCTAGGGGAACTCATTAGCATAACTCATTAGCATATGCCACACACCCTGACATCACCGGAAGTGTGTCATAAGGCCACACACCCCGCCCCCAACGGTCCCGGCTGCCGCTGCCGGCCTTGCAGCTCCACTGCCGAGCCCCATGGGGTCCCAGCGGTGGACCTGCAAGGCCGGCGGGAGTGCAAGGAAGCCCCGCGAAGGCCCTCCCTGGCCCCAGGCAGGCAGGGGTGGGGAGAGGCAGGGAGGAAGCAACTTACCCTCCCTCTTCTCCTGTCTCCTCCTGGCTGAATGAGGGCCGGAAGCGGGGTGGCCGGAAGCGGGGGGTGGGGCTTCGTCATGTGCCCCGCCCCCCATACCTAACCCGGGGGAACTGCGATCCCCCGCGATCCCCCCCGAAATGACCTCTGCCCTTGAGGATGGTTTAGGAAGACAGAAATCCCTCCAGTTAATTAACCAACTAAGTTGGTGTGGTGTGTCTGACTCTCCTGTTTGCAAAGTCTGTGATGGTTCCTTTTCCTTCCTCCTTTATAGGAAGCCGGGTATCTCTGTTACATTTGCAGTTCTCTCTGTTCAAGTTATGCTGTTCTGCAGATGAAAAGGTTCAGCCTCATTGTGTGTCTTTCTCTCTTCGCAGATGTAACCCTTTCTTTGTCCGCTGCATCAAGCCCAACAATAAAAAGGTACATGGCATGTTGTACTTGGAGCGTGGGTGGGGCAGTTTGGCTGTGATTCTGAGCTGGTTTGTTTCATCTCTTGTTAATGGAAGGGGCTGTGGCTCAGTGGTAGAGCGTCTGCTTGGCATGCAGAAGGTCCCAGGTTCAATCCCCAGCATCTCCAGTTGAAAGGACCAGGGAATAGGTGATGGGAAAAGACCTCTGCCCGAGACCCTGGAGAGCCACTGCCGGTCTGAGTAGACAATACTGACTTTGATGGACCCAGGGTCTGATGGAGGAGGAGGAGGAGGAAGGTGGGGCTGAGAGAGCTCTTTCGAGGACTGCTCTTGAGAGAACTGTGACCGACCCAAGGTCACCCAGCTGGCTTCATGTGGTTTCTAATCTAGGAGAAACTGGCCCACTCCTCCACATGCAGCTGCTGGTGTGACCTTGGGTCAGTCACAAGCTCTCTCAGCCCCACCTACCTCACAGGGTGTCCGTTGTGGGGAGGGGAAGGGAAAGGAGTTTGTCAGTCGCTCTGAGACTCCTTCGGGTAGTGAAGGATGGAGTATAAATCCAATCTCCTCCTCCTCCACCTCCTCCTCCACCTCTTCTTCTTCTTCTTCACAACTAAAAGATGGCGGGAACTCATATGGAGGGGCAAGTATATAATCATCTGATAAGAAGGAAAAAAGGGGGAAGTGAAGGGGGACAGAGGAGAAGGAGGGGGAGGCGAATCCTAGAAGGACCTGTCAAAAAAGAGCCCGTCGTTGCCCTCACCCATAAGCCCAGTGGAACAGCTCTGTTTTGCAGGCCCTGCGGAACTGTACCAGGTCCCGCAGGTCCCTAATCTCTCCCGGGAGAATGTCCCACCACCACCTAACTTATTTCCCTTCCGACTCTCCTCCGTATGTCCCCTAACTCTTTC